TTCACTTCTTCTTCACATATGGTGCAAAGTTAATGACCTCTCATGAGAATAGTCAAGGAATTTAGCAAGGTATCCGAAAGATGAACCTTTGCAAGTGCCATTTTTGCCATTTTATACACTCAAGTATATTGAGGGCCCAATATCCCCCTAATATTAATAATAGGAAACAAAGCAACGAGAAGTACAGATATTGATTCCTTATCATAAACTATATCCTCTAATCCAAAGCCTCTATTTCTCATGCATTTTCTCTTGCGTATAAGGATGATTACGGATCATAATATTGCCTAAACTCTTTCTTCCATTTACTCTGTTTACGCCCTCTTTCTTTTCAAGTGTTGTGCAGCTATACTGTTTATGTTTTGGCGCCCAGGGCACATGTCCCTCTGCCCCTGTAGGCACACTAGAACCCCCTCTCTCTCTCTCTCTCTCTCTCTCTCTCTCTCTCTCTCTCTCTCTCTCTCTCTCTCTCTCTCTCTCTCTCTCTTTCTCTCTCTCTCTCTCTCTCTCTCTCTCTCTCTCTCTCTCTATATATATATATATATATATCTCTACTTGAATAGATCTGAGTCTGTCTCTGTCTCTGGCTCTCCTGATCAGGTTTGTCTCTCTCCTCTCTTTTCTCGCTGTCTCCCAACTATTTCCCTGTCACTTTATCTTTTTCTTGTGTAAACGTTGTTTATAAGATGTTCGGACAGAATGATACGAAGTCGCGATCTATACTCTCATCTATGTCTGTCTCTCCCCTCTCTCCCCTCTATGTCTCTCTTTATGTGTCCGTTTATCCGGTTCATCTTTCCTATTCATCTCCTCTTCTCTCCCCCTCGCTTTCTCATTCTCCCTCTCTGTATTGTTATTTGTTAATGTTGTTTTCATCTGATCTCATCCTTGGTATGTTTGACATTTCTGCCAAACCAAAATCCTTACTAATCCTCGTAATCTGAAGTGTTTATGCCAGAAATCGTCGATCGTATTACATATTTCATATATAGTCATCATCTCCTCTCTAACATCAACCCCAGTAAACAGAAATCATTTCTCCTCTCCTCAATTACCTTCTTTCTCGTATTATCATTTCATTGAATAGATATTATTGTATTATTCTTTTTGTTTAATTCTGAACCAATTAATACTTGTAAAGCATTTTGAGATATCTGGTCTTAGTTGAGAGTGATTTGATTGCAAACATATTTTGAATGAACAAGTATAACAAAGTGACCGATGATAAAGCCTGCTCTGTCATTTATGAATAGACCTACCACTGAATGAGTTTGAAAGAGATCTTGCAAATTGCTAACCTTCACCCTTGTACATTTCTTCTAAAATTGCTATCCTTACCAAAGTTGTGACACTAGAACAAGCAAGTTCCAGGTCCTAACTCCCCCTCCCTCTTTCTTTCTTTCTTTCTTTCATTTGTCATCACTCTCTTCATTTATTCAATTAATTATTTATGTCTTCATTCCTCTCTTTTTGTATTTCTCTCTTTCCTTTCCATTTGTTTTTTCTCTCTCCTTACTTATGCGATCTTTGTGTTATTATAAAAATATGTGATAGATTATCATTCTGTAATCTAACAATTTAACCACACCATTACGTGCCATGTGCTAGTATGTTAACCACAGAGCAAAGGTAATGTAATTGTTAGTTCAGCTTAATTACACATTCGTGGCATTAATCTCTCTTTTCTCGCATAATCCTCATGTTTTCACATGCACAAGATTATAATTCTTTTCGGAAATCCGTATGCAGTACAATGTGTGTTATGGCAATGGCTGCGTTTGATAATTATATGCGTTGATATAGTTGTCCCGAGAGAAAGAAAAACAATAACAACACTTATTTCTTAACGATAATACGTCTACATCTAATGCTGACAGCCATCTCTTCTGCTTTCAAGGCAAAACAAGGTCATTTCGCCCGGGGCGCCGTAAGTCTTTTTTTGTTGTTAAAGAGACGTTAATACATGAGGCACACGATGGAGTGTATGTGAGGGAAGACGCAGTGGTTTATTTTAGGCAAAAATTGATCGAGATATCGACCAGTGAGAAGAGAAAACGAGGGGGAGTAAAATGAGAGGAACAGTCAATAGTGGAAGGAGGGGGAGAGTGACAGGGTTGTTGTTTTTGTTTGTTATGCCTTTGGGTTTCATACAGGTTCATCGAAAGTTTATCTCCCTAAACTCATTAATTAATGAGTGGCGTAGAGGGTGGGTATTTGTCAATTATAATGGACATATAATTGTGCAGCATGTAGTAGCCAGAGACAGTCTGTAAGCAACGAGAAGGAATTTGATTTAAAGGGTATAAGGAAACTCAGTAGACGGACAGAATATCGCTTTGTATAGTTTCAATACTATATCATTTGTTCATCGTAATAACACATTGCTGTACAAATGAACCGTTTTTTGTGGGTAGAAATATTATTGGTAGTATAGTAGTAAAGGTAGTAATGGTGGTAGTAGAATAAGTAGTAGTAGTAGTAGTAGTAGTAGTAGTAGTAGTAGTAGTAGTAGTAGTAGAAGTAGTAGTAGTAGTAGTAGTAGTAGTAGTAGTAGTAGTAGTAGTAGTAGTAGTAGTAGTTTACATTGCTGATGATGTCTTTGTTGTGGTGGCTTTTTTATAATTTTTTTTGAACAGTTGCAGCTTATAACAGATCCGTCAATTTTTAAGTCTTATTTTTCTATCATGAAGTTGTATGTATATTGTCCAACCAATATGGAAATAAATTTAGCTGGAAAATAGGATTATATAGTTTCCGGTATGGAATAAAAGGTGTGCAGACAATGTAAACATCCATTAATAGGAGGGCACTTTGCCCCCTCTCTCACTCTTTCATTACCTCCAGCTCCACTGCTAGTAGTATCAGTACCAGTAGAACATACTGAAAAAGAGAAAATTGTATGTCTATGTGGTAATGGGGGAGGGGTCTAGATATTTAAAATTGACGGTGAAAATATGAAAATAATACTGAAAAATACGTTTAAAAACATACCTGCACAATTTTCTTTTCTTCATTTTGTGTGAGTGCCTTTACTATATATCAGATGAAATTAAAATGACGAGTTCTTTCTTTTTTTTAATACAAAACATGTTTTAGGCATAATACGTAGAATATAATTCACAATAGATGATAAGGTCTTTATCCCAGGGACGGACCACAAAATAAAATCGTCTTAAATTTTTCAGCTTTTCTCGTCTGGACGACACTTTCGACATAACCCAATTTATAAAGGCTAAACTTTATTAGCGAAAATAATTTGTTCTAAATATACCCCCAGCAAGGTTTGGGGTGCATCCCTATCTACATCTTACAAGCATTGCTGATGGTAGCTCAGGAGAGGTCTTAATTTAATCGGATTCTAATTTATGCATGACAGCGTCCTCGGGCTTCCCTTATCATGCCCACTGCTCATCTTGTATTCTCCAGACCTGCCTATTACATGTAACCCCTTCACTCCGGCCGAGTCTCTCGTGTTAGATCAATATAATTATATTCACCCCACTCCCTCTTCTCTCTCTCTCTCTCTCTCTCTCTCTCTCTCTCTCTCTCTCTCTTTCTAACTCTTTCGCTCTCTATCCCTCACATTCCATATTATCTGTCTCTCTTTCTCGCTCTCTCTTTTTGCCCTCTATCCCTCACCTTCCATATTCTGTCTCTGTCTATCCGTCTCTTCCTCTCTATGTCTCTCTCTGATCTTTCTCTCTATCTCTCTTTAAGCCTCTTTCTCCCTTTAGCTCTGTATGTCTGTCTACCTTTCTTCTATCTCTCACCTTCTATATTCTCTGTCTCTGTCTCTCCCCCTCTCGTTGTCTGTCTGTCTCTTTTTCTCTATCTCTCTTTCTGTCTCTTTCTCCATCCAGCTCTTTATGTCTTGCTATACTCCCCTCTATCTCTGTTTGTTTGTCTGTCTCTCCCTCCCTTGCTCTCTCTCTCTCTCTCTCTCTCTCTCTCTCTCTTTCCATCCATGTCTCTTTCACAGCCTCTGTCACCGCCCCCTCTATCTCTCTCGTCCTCTTTCATTTTTATCTGGCTCTCGCTCTCTCATCTTACTATCTTTTAAGACTGTTATGCTCCATCAATCTATCTGTTTATACTTCCTTCTGTCACAATATTTGACGTCTGTCGAAACTAAAGTGAAACATACTTTGCTGCTTTCTCGATGTTTATTTTCTTGGTCATCTCCTCTCTATCCCCCCATCCCAAACTTAAACATGTTACAAGCAAAGTGACATTCATTTTGCTAATTTTCAAAGACTTCGAATATTTTATAAATCATGAATGATCCGCGCGATAGATGATCAGATTGCATGACGATGTTTTAAATATTAAACAGAGGGATAGGAACGCCCTATAATGATATCAATTGACTCTGTGTCGTATTTAAGCAACCGGAAACGAATAGAAGCATTCAGCACATGTCTCACTTAAAAAAGAGGAAGCGTCGGTAACTAATTACGTTGCTGGCATTATCTTATCAGTTTAACGGATTTGAGCTGCGTGAAAATCTTGAACTCATAAAACTTAAGAATGAGTTCCACATGTATAGCAGTTACAATACAATACATAAAACATGTCACACCACTGTTACGACCAGTACGTAAAGGACCATATCCCATTCATTTCAATATCAAAATTATGATTTCCAAAAGGCATTATCCTTCAATATATGTGATGTTATTTAGTATTCCACAAAGTCAGTCTTTAAATTAAAACCCCCTCCTTAAAAACTATAATAAGGAGCATTTAATAATAATTGATGCTTCTAAGCAGCAAATCAGTGATTCAAAGGTGAATCTCAATCTAACAGATGAGTTTTCATTGCATCGGACAGCTTATAAACTTCAGGTAGGTCAATGCAGTAATTCCAACGGGAGAGCACGATTGTAGCACGATTTAAAGTATGTGGCAGGCAGGAACGCAGGGGCAAATGTGACATCATTATGGTTATTTTGCCATTTACTGTTAGAGCACATTTTTGTTTTCTAATTTATACAGACAGATCCTAACATTTCATCTTATTACATGATCCCGTGCTCTCGACATGACCATTGAAGAGGATTTCGATAATTTCATGAAACAACTCGGAGAGAGCATCTCAGAAGAAGAATTGAAAGCTCTCACGGCAGCTTGCCAAGACGTCATCCCAAATGAAGCGAGGGAGAAGATCAAGAAACAGAGGGATCTCTTCAGTTACCTTCAAAAGATTGATCAGCTCAGTCAAGGTAGGTCGAGACGAGGTGTACGTCTAGGGCTCTGAGAGTGCTTCCTGATCTAATACAGAAGAAGGAGAAGAAGAGGAATAGGAGGAAGAAGAAAAAGAAGAAGAAGAAGAAGAAGTAGTAGTAGTAGTAGTAGTACTAGTAGTACTAGTAGTAGTAATAGCAGTAGTAGTAGTAAAAGACGGAGGAGAAGTAAAAGAAGAAGAACACGAAGGAGAAGAAGAAGTAGAAGAAGAAGAAGAAGTAGAAGAAGAAGAAGAAGAAGAAGAAGAAGAAGAAGAAGAAGAAGAAGAAGAAGAAGAAGAAAAAGAAGAAAAAGAATAAGAAACAAAAAGTGTGTGTGCGTGTGTGTGAGTGTGTGAATTTCAGAATTAAGAAAAATCATCACTCGGGAAGTTCTGATTTTTTTTCGGTTCATATATTTTGAATGCTGGAGCATACAATAGCTGTGTAATAATAGTACCCTGTGATGTAACTTGTAAACAAGACCGAATCAAATCATATCCAAATGCTGGAAGTCATTCTGATCGAATTTACAATTACGTCCTCCATTTTATTTCAATCTTTGGATGAAGCGCATACAATACAATACAATAAACACTCATAGTTTTCTTATCAAATCTCCTTACCCTCTTTCTCTCTCTCTCTCTCTCTCTCTCTCTCTCTCTCCATCATTGTCTCTCTCTTCTCTTCCTCATTGTCTCTTGCTCCTCTCTCTCTCTTACATTCTCTCTCCACGATCTCTCTTTCTCTTTTCCCCTCCACTTCCCCTCTCTCTTCTCTCTCCGTCTCTTCCCCCCCCCCCCCCTCTTGTTCTTCTTCGTCTTCGTCTCATATAGATAACTTATATTATCTAGAGCACGCTCTGGAGAAGATTTGTCGACCGGACCTGGTAACCATGGTGATGGATTTTCGAGACAGCGCTCCCTCCAGCCAAGATCTAAGCAATGTCATCTCCGGACCGGCAAGAAAATACAAAGGTATTTGGCGCGAAAATTCACAGTATCACCCATGCTAGGTTGAACATGTGTTGCTCTTATGTATTATGTATGATGACACTAATGGTTTCTCCCCTATCGGTTGCCATGGTAACATTTTGCTTGTCTTATCGGGGATGAGGGAACTTTCTTATATGGATGATGTATTGTGATGGCTCTACTTAGGATTTTGATGAGGATGCAGAAACTAGGATGATATTGTGTGTGTGTGCGTTTTTATACTCCATTACTTTCTTGATGGCAGGACTGGCACTGTAATAATAGTCTAAGGGAAATATTTGCCCAGCTGTATGCAACATCAGGCCCTAACTGCTTTATCCATAAAAATAGTTAGCGAGATACAGCATGAACATTTTGAAAACAGTCGCTCGTTGCCGTCGCTCGTTGCCGCCTTTCAGTGTTCATAATTATGAACCTTAATTTTTGATCGAAAATAACACTCTATGTAGGAGCTCATCTATTTTTGTATCGGATGAATCATTATTGATCATTTTCTCTCCTAAAAGAACCCAGACAAAACGATCAGCCGCTGACGGTGTGATTTCCAGTTGGATGCCGATTTTAAAAACAGATGTTCGAAATTCAGCAGTCTGGGTTTCCATCGATTTTTAAACCCAACTCCGCCCATGGAATAGGATCAAATAAAGCATAAATTCAACTCTATTCTATTAAACACAAGATTAATTTGTCATAGCAGGGAGATGAGACCTCCCTTGTCATAATGAAGTTCATGGTTCAAGGTAAAAATTTATTTGCCTTCATTCCTTTTTCATACCAACAAATATTCAAGTAAAACATTTGTAAAAACATAATTACACAGGAGAATTCGAGTGAGCATAATAACAGTTTTAACAAAAAGAAGAAGGCGTAAATCGTAAACGCATAGGTTTGTGTCGTATACATTTTAGAACAATACACTATAGTAGTATGTAATTTGTTTTCGATATTTTATTTAGAACTTTCAAATCCTGGGTATAGATTCCTGACGTTCACTTTGTTTAGTTTGTTTGAAATAAATAGCGACGCACTTTGTATTTATCATTATAATTATTGTTTTCGTGTTTTACGCGCTATTTTACAGACGTTCAAAATGCTAAGCGAGTTGCAATGGCCTTCGCATTCCAACTGGAACCCATTTAACACCCTGGTAGAGAGAAGCAATTTAGATAAAATGTCTTGCTGAACGACATGTGGTGTGCCGGGAATCGAACCCACGACTTTCTCATCTCCAACCAATTGTTAAAAACCACTCGACTATGACACTTCTATCTTTGTGGAGGCACCTCGATATAATGATCTCCCAAAATTGTTTTTGCTTGCCTTTACATTCCATCAATCACGCCCCTGGTGCCCAGATTTCTCCCATGAGAAAACCCAGGTCTTCGTATGTATATAGAGGCTTTCATCAGACGTAAAACGTGCATGCTGGTCTGGTCTGAATGAGGTTGATGAATAATTGATTGACCGGGTATAGATGGAAGAAGAAGAAGAAGAAGAAGAAGAAGAAGAAGAAGAAGAAGAAGAAGAAGAAGAAGAAGAAGAGAATGAGTAGGACTGAAGAGAGGGAGAAGAAGAAGAAGAAGAAGAAGAAGACGAAGAAGAGTCGGAGGAAGAAGTTACACTTCTTCAAATATATCTTTCATGCGCCCACCTACTCAACTAGATTTTCAAAGTGATAGTCTTCTAATACTAAACTAGATAGCCTTCAAGATTAAGTTGTACTTGAGAAGAAATCATGTTGTGAAAAAAAAACAGTCTGGAAGCAGTTGGTTAGTATTATAGTCCCTAAGAATCAATGTATATTGTCAGTTCTTGGAATGACCAAAATGAAAAGAATCAGTCTTACTGAAAATGACATGCACTGCACACACAAATGGGTATATGGGACTTCACACACAATGTATAAATTTTTCACCATGAAATTTCTCGTCATATATGAGGGCATTTGGAGAGCACTCCTTTTTTCAGGAGACAATATCTGCCATGATAGTCTTCCAAAATGGCATACAAAGAATGGGGAAGCTCACACATTATTCATAGGCTTTTAAAACCAGAACTCAACCTTCTCTTTAACGGAGACGAGGGGCGTAGGCTTAAGGTGTCAGAGTAGTGCGAAACAGTATTACCTTCGCGAAGTAATATTATTAGCAATATGACAGATTATTTCCTGCGATCTCAAGTACAGGGAAACAAGCTACATGCTGATTGAGACGAGCGACTGAAAATGGGATGCAGGGATTTCTTGAAGAGAGAGAGAGAGAGAGAGAGAAAGAAAGATTTTTTTTGGGGGGGGGGGGGGGGAAGAGGTGGTTGATTTTACTCGACAAGTATAACTTCTAATGAAAGGTTGAGGGAAGGGAGAAAGGGCGAGGAGCGGACAGGGGACTTAAAATTCAAATCGGTTTAATTATATTAATTATTTATCTTCTTTAAAGGCCCACTGCACTACTGGTAGCTACTTGAGCCCTCTATATTAGAAACAATGCCTAACCGGTGACCATTGGTCCCCCATGATCCTCTTTTTCTTATGTTAACTGAGAGCTGAGTTGATGAGATAACCACCTGTCCAGTGACCTTGCAGAGCGGTCTAATCCCTCCTGTAAACTATGGCAGATAAGCTTTAAAGTAGCCCTTGTAGTAGACTAGCCTCTCTCTCTCTCTCTCTCTCTCTCTCTCTCTCTCTCTCTCTCTCTCTCTCTCTCAGCCTCTCTCTCTCTCTCTCTCTCTGTCACCCACACACACATGAGAATTAGAATTCAGAATATAGTAAATAGTTTGTGGAACGTAGGCAAATCAAATATTCAAGAAATTATATAATGCTATTATGGTTGTAGATAGGAAGAATCGATATAATGAGAGAGTTCGAGAGGGATCCTGATGTGGCAGACACCATGCAGTTGATGCGGCCTTGCCTGAGGGGGGGGGGGGGGGGGGGGGGGTGGAGAGACATAGAGAGAGAGAGAGAGAGAGAGAGAGAGAGAGAGAGAGAGAGATAGTAGGGCAAACAGGACCTCTTGTGTAACCTCGAAGATTCATAATGTGTGCTAATGGCATCCAGAGATCGGCAGTTAGGCAGTTAAAGAGAGAAAAGACATATTACAATGGAAGGATGAAGTGGAATTAAGGCATCATCCAGGCACGCCTGAGGATAGGGAGGCAGATGGGAGAAGAAGAAGATCGAATGAAAAGTGGAAGTGGCTAGCGGGGATGAGGAAGAGAGGAATAAAGGGGTGGAAAGAGAAAGATGAGGGAGATAGAGGGAGAGAGAGAGAGAGAGAGAGAGAAAGAGAGAGAGATAGAGGGAGAGAGCGAGAGATAGGGAGGGAGAGGGTGGGGCAGAGAGATAAGGAAGGAGGGAGAGAGAGAGAGAGACTAGCTAAAATAAAAGGACAGAGAGGGAATGTAGTCGGGAGAGAGTAAGGGAGAGAGAGGGGAGACGGAGGATGATCAAGTTAAAAGTAGTTAGAAAATGACAGAAAGAGACTAAAAGCTGGGGTGAGAGAGAGAGAGAGAGAGAGGATAACGAGGGATAGTAGGGCAAACAGCGCATAATCTAGGGACCTCAATGAAGGCTCGAAGATTCTGCTGATGGCATCCAGGGACCTCATCAAGTATTCAATGCATAAAACACGTACCTCGATCAGGGCTGTTGTGACACTAGCTATGCCGCACTCCATTTCACATCGGAACAACTAAATAACACGCAACATCAATCAAATTATTTAATTAAGTTCCAATAAGCCTGTGGCTGCTATGACTGCATGCTACCACAATTTTCATAATTTTCATTTACATTTAAATGGTCATGACCTAATAAATATAAATTGAAACTTGTGATTACTTTGCATTCCATTGCCGTTCGTCATTTCATTTACATGAGTAATGATATAGCTTACCAGCTTAGATTAGGTACCTCGCCATAATATCACCCATTACACCCTCGAGCTGATCTATGACTGTATGATAATCTAACTGGGTGTTTTCCTTGTAAACTGTATCATCATAACATGTAATAATATTATGTGCGTCAAAACCTTTCACAGTATTTGTTCTGATGAGTCAGTACACTATACAGGCATTGATTTTTCGAAAGTAGCTGCTATCGTGTTGCATTTCTGAAACAATTCACCGGAACAATTCAGCCGGATATTGAAAAGCCTTGAATTTGAAATAGGATTCACACCTAATATAATAATTTAATCTTTCAGGTAAAAACACCCACATTATGTTGGAAGAAACTGGATGGGCTTGCTTGTAACTCCGATATTACTTTAAATGATTTCAATGTACATTTTACACAAAACTGAGCATTAATCAAACATATTCCTGACCCCGATTAAAACTGAAGTCGTGAAGAGTATAGAATCCCCTGGGGGGGGGGGGGGCTGATGACGGCTTTGTGTTCATTCTTGCGATTTACTCTGGTGAGGGCAAGACAAAAACCTTTAGCATTCATTTTCGTTGCTATTTTGAGTTTTTGCAGTGCCAATTATCTCCTTAGATTGGCTTTTGTTTAATGAATCTCTCATTACCCAAGTAAGAAAATATGAAGAAGAAAAAATAATAAAAAAGAAAGAAACAAAAAAGATCTAGGCCTAATATCAATATTTGAAAGTTAGGTATGCGATGAAGCATATTGACTGGGTAATGAGGTTTTCTTATTTGTTGTTTCTTTTTGGTGAGAAGGGTTTTTTTTTGGGGGGGGGGGTGTAATACTTTGCAATCTAAAGCAGTTGAGCTTAGATGTTGCGTTGTAGCCTTGTCTTGCCATTTTGCTACAAAAAAAAATATGTATTTTCTGTTCATATTATTTATATTAGAAGTAAAAAGTGATAAAATATTCAAAATCTGTAATAATTCATCTCTATTCGATGTTTCAACTGATGTAAAAATAAACCCCACTCCCATTTGTTATTCATGCGACCTTTTATGAAATAAAATTCACCTTTATTAAACAAAAATAAAGGGAAACATACATAAGTCTAGGTCAAATGTTTTTATTAACAATACACGGAAAATAAATGACACAACTTGTTGTTGTATGTGGTTTTGTCACTCTAATGTATTCATGAATATTATCAACTCCAATTATTTCTTTCAGAAATGAACAAGGAAACGGGAGAAGTTCCGGAGGAGGTGCTTACAGGGTTAGCTAAGATTGAACTAGCCCCACCCCCTTTGAATGCAGACCGACGGAAAGGGAGAGACACGAGATAAATGGACCACGATACCAAAAACGTCAAACAGAAGAACAAAATGTTAATATAACTGTACAATTATGATTATTGGAAATCTTTTTTTATATTGATATTATATCGAGAGTGTTTTATTATTGTAAGTAGTATATTAATGTTTGTAATTGAATATTTATAGGATCTTGCCCTTGTACTACACTGGAATCAAACCAAAACTAGCGGCACCAGGGTCCTAGGGTCCAGTGCCGCACCTGGATACTTATTTGCAACGCTGCACCATGTATACAGCATGTGCACTCTATATGTGAACTTGTTGCTGCCTGATTCGCATTTTAAAAAAAGCAAACGTGTACCCTTTGTTTCCAGAGGTACTATATATTTATTATCTTTTCATTTACAAAATGATCCTGGTTATATTGTGTATAAAACTATCTGAGTCTGCTTGCACAAAGTAGATTTGAAATTATCGTACTAATGTCGCCCATGCGTTAAAGGGGATATGCTTCTTATACACTTTTTTTTTAATGAATGCGTTTCGTAAAATTATCGGGGACGATAAGGTATGTTTATGTTTTGACAAATGGTTCAACGGATGTTTGTTTCATAAGAGTATGTACCTCGAATATCCCCAAATTCTTGGGATTGGCAAATTCGTTATAGAACCCAAAATGTTCACAAGGACGTTATTTATATGTTTTTTTCAACATAACTTCCAAAGTAGGTTGCATATATATTGTGTCGACAATTTAATGTGTTCGGTCTAGTGGACAGGTATTTGGAATAATTGGAATAATACCAAAATCTAAATGTATGTGCATATTCAAGTTAATATTTTGTTTGTTTGCTTGTTTCGGAATCCCGAACCCCCCCCCCCCCCCCCCATCCTCCCATGTGGATTTCAACCTACAGTTGAGAGAGAAGTATTTTGTAATTTTTCAGTTGTATCATGACGTTAACTGTTCATACTTTTCATATACAGTAACTGATGTTGACTTTGATATTATATGATAAAATGTAGATACAAGGCCTAGTGAGTATTTAACCTCTGTTGTACACTATCCATGTACTGTATTATAAAGTACCGGTACTAAAAACTGAATGACAATACACCGGTACTAAAATGTATAGCTTAGATAAAAGGCCCAATGATTATTGACACATTTTCTCGTACAATGTACGTGTACTGAATTATAATTTACCGGTACTAAATATTGATCATGATACATTAATGGTGGTATCATATTCAAATACATGAATTAGGCATAGGCTACTATTATGTCTGCAACCAACCAAATATTTTGCTCAGTTAATTTCTTCTTAATTTTTCTCAAATTTTCAAATTGTTTAATCGGTAAAGTTATTGTACTAAGAATGACTGATAATCATGTTATAATTAAATCGTTATATACAGTGTATGTCATACAGTGATATACATGAACAAAGATAGTGTGACGCAAACAGTTTTAGAATGTTGTGAACAGAAGAAACAAGATTAATAAAGAAAGGAAGAAAGAAAAAAAAAACATTTCTCACATTTCGAGCCCCCCCCCCCCCCCCCCCCCCAAAACAGCAATACCACCCCTGTTTGCCATTCTACCATGTGATTACTGTAGGAGACTGGCATTTTTAAGCAGTCTCACGAAGTGAAACCTTGGAACTTACAAGACACAGTAACTACTATTGTACTATAATTCTGGAAATCAAAAGTTAATTGGAATTGATTAATTGATGAATTAGACCGCATGTATTTTGAACTGTCATCTTGAAAGCGCACTTATTTCATTTGAAGCCTTATGTTGCTCATGATTATTCATGGTTATTCTACTTTTACTCACATATTTAATTGTTTTTCATTAAATTTGCCTATTCTATTATCTATATTAACTTGAGTGTAATATGCTAAATGAAATGTACATAAATAAAAAGGCTAAGAAAAGAAAAAATCATGCATGTATGAAACACTTCCAAATAAAGTAAAATTCACTATGTTTTAACGTAGCTGGGGCTAGTGAGATTTCTTTGTATGTGTGGTGTTAATCAAACAAAATGAGATGAAAATGAAAGAAAAGAAGATTTTTGTTTTTTTATATAGGACCTGACAAAAAAAACTTTTGATTAATAATTTTTGTGGATAAAAGATAGGACTAGGAAAACAACAGCCAATATTTAAAAAAATGCAATTTGGGTATGTAAAAATAGTCTCTGAAAACTAATTAACCCATTAGGGCCTACACAAGAGGTTGGCCGTTTTGTAAGGGGATAATTTGAGTGAGTGGCTTGCTGTCTGGAGAAAATGTTCTCGGAACATATTTCTCAGTTCAGTGGTATAGTTGCTTGGGCTAAAAAAAAGTCCCCCCCCCCCAAAAAAAAAAAGGAGAAGAATGAAATAAATGAGCTTTTTTTTTTTGGGGGGGGCGCATTATCATCTTGTTTCTGGTTACAATCACAAAGAGAAACTTTTCTATTTTGTTAAATATATAGGAGCTGACAAAAAGAGCTTTTGTTGATCAATTTTGTTGCCATGAGGATGATATTTTAGAATGATGACGGTGATGATGATGATGATGATGAAGATGATGAACAGGAGGAGAAGATATCGCCTTATTTTGGTGTTAATAAGACAGTAATGTCTTGGTAAATTTAATAAGGGATGATATTATATCATGACTGGCCATCATGCCGTTTTTGTTTTCTCAATACCATGATCTAAATACTTTATATACATTCGTGCTATCGACCTAATTATTTTTTAGCCTTGCTTTTTCATGTTTTCTTTTGCTCGTTCATTCTCTCTTTCTTTCTTTAATCACCTTTTCTTTCTTTCCTTCTTACTAATTCCTTCTCCCCCCTTCACCTCCACCTCCCCCTCCGAATCAACTTCTACCTCAATTCTACTCCTTCTTCTTGTAAATAAGGAAATTAAACTAAATCCTCAATGGATATGATTTACTTAGGTTGGAACATGGATTTTATTTTTGTCATGAAAAACAAACAAACATAGATCTATAAGGGGTCCAGACCACTGTAGAGATCAGTGGTCCAGACAACTCGCCAATACCTTGTGCAAGAATAGATCAAGATGAAATCTGGGAGGCTGGACAATGTAGGCAGAACCAGAGTCAAAGGTGAAATATAAATTAGGTGAAATGTAGTGGCTCTGCCCCCATCAAAAAATGATGTTACCCGATAAAAAATCAGACAAAAAGTGTTTTGTCGCCATCTAGTGTCGTCATTTATTTTCATTCAATCTCCCCAGTCCCACATACCGAAAAATACGTTTGCATAATATCTGTATCTACAGTACATCGGATCGAGCCAATGACCATTGATACTTGCGATCAAGTCTCGCAGTGTAGTGCAGCTGATATCTTTGTGCATGCTGTGGAATCCACTCAGCTTTTGACTTTGTAAAGCGTCTGATGTCACGGTCCTACTAGTATCAACGCTAATCAAGATTTTCACTCGTAAAGGTAGGTTTAAAACGAAACAATAAGCAAGGATTTAGTCCGTCTGTACTGTAGGCCTAATCTGGTTACATTTAAATTTTGAGCAAATTTTGATTGAGCATGTTGAGCTAATATGCTAATCCGCTCTCCAGCTCCAGGGCTGGGGTCAAGCTCCTCAACAAAACTCTCACTAGACTTTTACAGAGTTGACACAACAAATTACGTGATGGTTATGATGGTTTGCACATGTTGGACGCCTGCCCAATGAAAAGTCATGCTTTCTTGAGTTTCTTCATACGGATTACAGTCTAGAATCTATTCTAGAGTAGACTCTAGGTCTATACATGTAGATCTAACAAGTTAGATCTATCATGTTTGAAACTTACTTCTAGTTCTAAAAAGTTCTTATAGATCTAGATCTATTGTCTAAAAGTTTTCACTTGGCAATACAACTTGACTGAGGTTCATCAATTTTATGATAACAATGATGTCTTGATGAGGATAAGGATGGTGATTATAAAGTCACAACAATTATAATCTGATGTTGAGTGAGTGATGATGATGATGGCGATCTGGTGATAACAATGAAGATCATTGATATTTATCTTTACGATGAAGATTATGTTGTAATGATCATGATGATGGTGATATTGATTAACCAGTTCTTGGATCTTGGATTCAATTCCTCCTAAATGCTCCAAAGAAAACCGAAGAGTTTTGACTGTCATTATTGAATCCTCTAATTCCCATATTTATGAGGCTCAATACAAAGATCACGATCGGCCCAGTTCCAGTATAAATCTAGTGGTTATGAATGATGTTGATGATAAAGAATGTTTCATGTTTGGTGCTGGACAGAAAATCTTTCTGCGTTATGGAATTCCCAAAATATTTTGTCTTTTGACGCTCTCCTCTGAGGCATGTAAAGAACTTTACCCTTTACCTTTACCTGAAATTCTGGAAGAATGCTGTGTTCTCAGCAGTCAGGCTTCCAGTTCAATTTCATTTTCTTCCTTCTCGTAGTTGGGTGTCTTCATCTTGGTAAAGACCAGTTTTGGAAACGCCCCACTCTCTAAAAAATGAAATGGAAGCTCTTATTACCGATCGTGTGAAAGAATATGTTTTGACTTAAACATGTGATGATACAAATTTTACCGGGAAACCGCCTACTAATTGATATACAGTGTGTATTTGGTAAATTATTATATCTATTCAGACCTGATAGATATCGCGCACGTGTCGCGCACATGTCGCATAGTCCCATATACTGTACATCTTTTTGTGTACAGTGCTTGTAACTTTACCAAGACTGGGCTAAATTTCTTATCATTTTGATGATTCCAGAACCTTGCAGTACGCACCAATACTTACAGCCAAAAAAATACTCGGGGGGGGGGGGGGGGGGGGGGGGGGGGGGGGGGGGGCTCGGGGCGAAGTAGCCCCTGAAATGCCCAAAAGAGCCCGAAAGTCATAAAAGAGCCCCCAATTTGCAAAGAGTTCAATGCAGAAAAAATTAAAGAGTGTTATTTTTATCCAAGCATGGTTGATAAGTAGCCCCCAAAATTGTTTATATATTTTTTGCCCTGAATACTTATATGCTAGAGGATCAACCTTTCCTGATCGATTCCACAACGTTTCTTTCACAATGCAATGGCATGACCATAACTGGTCTTTATCTTCAAACGGTATGGACCTCATGCCCACACACTATGAATATGACAGACAATGAAAGCGGACAAAATATACAGTTCCTTAGGTAGACAAAGGAACATCCCTTCACTGCTATTATGTAAAAATGTGTAGAACAGGTGTCACATGCATATTCACCTGTTCTACACATTTTACATAATAGCAGTCAAGGGATGTTCCTTTGTCTACCTGAGGAACTGTATATTTTGTCCGCTTTCATTGTCTGTCATGTTCATAGTGACAATAGCGCTAGCTAAGGACTACAAACTTTCCACACACATCGTTCACATGTACAAAACATATAGGAGAGAAATAAATATTATTGTTGAAACACTTGATTTTAAAATATGACACAAACCAATTTTTTTCTTTGAGAGTTTTGAATCAATTGATAGAGGGTTTCTTGATTTCTGTTACATAAAAACTATAGTAATGCTGCTATGGACGTGGACAGGTTGTGTATCGCTGCTTTTTAAAAATCAGCAGTTTGAAGAAAATTACAAGCAATATTTACAAAAAATTCAAGGCAAAAATTTCGGACAATATCATGATGGAAAAATATTGCAAGGTTAGTTATGAACATGTTCAATATACAAAGCTTGGAAAAAGTTTTAAATCCTTTGGATTCGTTTTTAAAGGCATCGTTTAACAATCAGCGTGTTTCTATTAGTTATACTGAATTGATCAGGTTGAAGAAATAAGCGTATAATGCCACTTTCTATCTACGCGCATACTGATCTAGCCAGAAAAATGGCCGTGAAAAAGTTTGTTGAATTCTGGTTAATTAGGTCACCACAAAGTATTGTGGGACTGCTAGGTCAACCCGGGATTGTAGTGTCGCGTGCGTCGGGGTAAAATATTCCGATCACGTGACCACTCCTATTTCCGGTTTCTCCCTGGTATGTGCACTCAATCAGAACGGGGTGTGTTTCTACTTACGTTATCCCGTTAGCTACCCCTGCGTTATCCTTCTAAAAGAAGGATAATTTTGCCGGTGAACGCTTAACAGCTCTCCCGGCATTATCCGGATAATGCCAGAGAAAGTGTGTTTCTATTAGGAAAAAATTATCCCTTATCGGCCATTAACCGGATAATGGCTTTAGATACATGTAGAAACACGCAAATGTTAAATCTGAGATGCACGGCCCTACGTGTTAAATCAGTGTCTGTGAAATGGTGTAATATTGAAGCCCTAAAAAAATTGTGCTTCAAAACGATGAAGAAGTGTCTCAAAAAAGTAAACATCTTTGAGTGACCGGTTTTACCATACTCGTTTTCCCCGATAGACTTTAGTGTTATGAAAACCGTTAGGAAAACACAAAATTCGGTTTTGATTTCCAATCATAAATATCTTGATAATCAGACAGGCGATCGGCTTGTAAAGGTCATGGAGTTCCTGACTGACCTAAAGGTTTATAAATATCATTGCAGCCTGAGCTAAATCCAGGATTTAGTTTCAGAATCTGAGACAAAGTTACTGAATCCCTTTGAGCATTGAGGTGCCTCAATAAGTGATCTGATGATGTGTACAAATCATATATCAGGCCACTGCTTGAATACTACTCCCTGGTTTGGCATTCATCCCTTTAAAGGGGAAGTCCACCCTGAAATTAAGTTAGTTTTAATAGGAGTAGAAAAATGAGAGAAACAAGTCAGTGAAAGTTTGAGCAAATTCTGATTAAAAATAAGGAAGTTAGGATTTTTGAAGTTGTGATCAATCAAACACAAATTGGCAACTCTATGACGTATCATGCGAGCTCAACTTCCATTTGCTCAGTACTAAAAAAGTCTAAAATTTTCATTTTCCCTCAAGAAAAATTTCAACCCTACATGCACCCTAAATATAATAATTGCAAATATGTTTCTATACTCCCCCTGCAAGGAACAAATATATATTCCGTCATCAATAACGAAGAAAACATGATTTTATGGAATATTATGCACAAAGCAAATGAAGGAGAGCTCGTATAATAAGTCACAGAGTTGCCAATTTGTATTTGATTGATAACAACTTCAATAATTCACAACTTTCTTATTTTCATTCAGAATTTGCTCGAACTTTCACTCACCTGATTTTCTTATTATTCTGCCTCTATCGAAACAAACTTATTTTGGGGGTGGACTTTCCCTTTAAACTACATGTATGCTACCAATTGCTAAGAATATGTCAACAATTCCCACAGTGGTTATCCCCCAGACTTCCATACATAAATGCAAAGACAAGTCTTTTAAGAATTATGATTATTACTAAAATCTCTTTGATTTGATATGAAATGCTAACAAAATTTGAAGACTTGTGTCACCCTTTATAAGAGAGGCTCAAAATGTAGAGAAGACCCTGCCTGAATTAACCTTGAATATATATGGGAGGTGATTTGAGTTTTGTTTTCTTCACTGAATGCACGCACTGTTTTGTCAACAAAGCTAATCGCCTTGTGAAAAGTTTGGGAAGGCAAAAGGATGCCTACATGTAGTTCTGCAAATTTATGACTTTTTGATTCTCTCTTATGTTTTTTTTGTGGCCAATTTGAGATTTGCATACAGATGTACTGTAGTGACCTCCTATATTTAAGATTCATAACTTTCTGATCTATTTCAAACCTTCGCATTCTTTATCTCTTCTTTTTCTGTTTTTAAAAAGGATTTTTTTTTTTTTAAAAATTAATAATTTTGTTAAAAAGTATTTATTGCCCTTTTAAAGTGTTGGGGGGGGGGGGGGGGGGGTAAACTACCCTTACATACTACACTGTAAATCCCTTTAGCTCTCCTCTATTTTATTTCACACAGGTACTGTAACTAAGGTAATTTAGCTCTATTTTATCCCTCCGTTCCTTTTCTCCAAAAATCTGCTCCAAGGCTTGCACGCTTATCAAAACATTCCTCATTGAAGAGAAAAAACGAAAAGCACAAAATCCATCCCTTGAATTTGAAAACCGCTAAAGCCCTTGGGTTAGGGCCATTGTACGTGAGAAGAATACATGAATAAAATGGAGCAGCTTCATTGGATATTTTCCCTCCATTTTAGTTATTTTCTTTTCCTTCCAGAATAAAGCTCCCTTCTAGGGATTTCACCTTCTAAGTTACCATGTTAGGCACGGAGAGAGAGATTGCAAACAGAAAATGGAAAAATTGTGAAAGGTTTCGTGCTAGTTGAGGCTGAACAAGTACATGTAGTATGCAGTACCGATTATTTGCTACATAGCGATAGTGTAACCCTTTTTGTATTTAGCGTACAAATCCCCTTTTTCATAAACAAAGATACATGTAGTATGCTAAGACAAAATTTGGTCTGGCGACAATTGCTAGATATTTGCTTCACAATTAATTAACAGGTT